AATAAAATCTGCTTAATGTTATTTTCTATTTTAGCATTTATTCAATTTGTTATGAAGATTAGAAAAAAATCTATATATGCTATGCAGGGATTATCACTAACATATCAGGATTATAATTTGGAGCAATAAATATTGACAAAGTAACCGGTGTGGAGATTTTTTTTGTGTGTGTGTGCATTTTCTGGTTCCTGTGTGTGTGTTAAAATGTGACTTCGGCTGTGTCTGGAATATTTTAAAAGGGTGGTTTAAGGAAGTAGTGGAGGCAAGTATCCTTATATTGGAAAATGTCTTTTCCGTTATCTGAAATGTACCGGACAGTCTGAAAATATCCTCCTCTTGAAAGCACCCATTTTTTGTATATTTCCATTGTCTCCAGTGGTGTGAGCGCTGCATGTGTTTTGATAGGTGGCGCCTCTAGGATGGCTTTCAGGAATGTTGCGCCTTGTCCTGGGATATCAAGCAGCTGCCTGTTGTGCTCTTCCTATCAAAGGTGTGTAAGGGGATCGGAGGGGAATTCAGTCAATACAACTATGCAGACAAGATGGCTTCGCTTCGGCCCATGGAGTTTCTTTACAGGCATTTTGAAATAATTAAAGCGTGTCTGGTTCACAGTGTTAGGGCACAGGACAATAAAGCCTAGTTTGCCCTTCTAGAAGTGCAGCAAGGACACAGGAAACGCCAAAAGATCACATTTCTCACTCTTGACTGTGTTCCTTTCTGACTTAAGGGGTCAGAGGTGCATTATCTACCTCTCTTTCCAGTTTTCTACATAAATCGACATTGTATGATGGTCTGTGCAAAGTTACTACAAGATTGGATTGTGTATCTCTTTCCATGTCCCCAATATTATGCAATAATAACTGCAGCACCTCTCCTGTCTAATGTTTCATGACAGTTTTTCGAATCACAGCTGGTAGTACGGACCAGTCCGCATCAACCTGTTCTCTTGTTAAAAGCCTGTGACGGTATTTTGTGTTGGTGATAATCCTAAACGCTAATATACAGTACTAGTACAACGCAGTTGCAAGAAAAGGGGAACATGAAAAAAAAGACTACGATTCCCATAACACCCTTCAACTTGCTTGTTTCCGGTCCTGCGCGGTTTCTGGAGCGGATTGGAACCCGGAGTCAGGATTCGAGTAAATTGTGGTCGTTTGGCGAGCAGGTAATAGCTGTATTGCAGACTCGCGTTGTTTTCGCGTGGGAGATTTAGGCTAGTCCGTGGCGGGCGATGTTTGTAGTGCGCCGGCGGTGTGAATTAACTGCCCAGAGGGGACCGCCTTGGCCGTATTTGACATTCGTGCGCGCTAGCTCCCGATGCGATTTTCGTCTCCATTCCATCCGCCATGCCGACTGTTCTTTGTCACATTGGCTCTGCCGAGCTGAGGAGCG